GTAACTGGCACCACTTAATTTCTATTTCTGGCATGGTTCTGGGGATGGGGAATCACTGTTTGGTTTCACTGCCTCCCCTTCTCCAGTGTCCAGGATGGACACGCTGCATTTCAGGGCTCTGAGGTGCTGGGACAGCTGCTGCATGCTTGCATGTGCCTTTTGAGGAGAGGCCTTACTTTGTTAAGTTATATTCAGATAATTGCATTAATAAAACATTTTTAAAGAGCATTAACAAAGGAGAAGGAGGTGCCACTATTCTGAAGTAAAGGTTTCCATAATGAGCTGAGAATTAGTATATGATAATGCTATGCTTACACAGTCCCTCATTTATTTGGGATTCTGATTACACCCTGAAGATCCCTGCTAGAGCTGTGATCCCTACTGTGCTATAAAGTCAGCAAGATACAGAAACCCTCACTGAAGGATTACAGGTGATTTGTGGACAAAACAAAGCAATGAACTTAAGATATACTGGCAGGAAACGGGAAAGAAAAATAAAGTACAACTCCAGCACTGAATCCTGGCTCTTTTCAGGTCAGTGAAGATTTTGCCTTAGAAGCAAAAATTGCCCCTTTCCTGTTTTTTTTTTTTGTGGGTTTTTTTGTGTTTTTTTTTTCCTGCAGTGTGAAGGCCTGCCCATGGACAAGGGATATTCTCCCATCCTTCCACACTTGTGCTTGATGCAAGGGACAAACATCTGGGTACCACCTAGGCACTTTTTGATTGAGGATAGGTTTGGAAGCAGTGAAGGTGGAAGGGAAGAGAACAAGGATGTAGAGAAGTCATTGGGAAGGACAGGCAGCAGAGGTTAAGCCTTGGCAGAGCCAATGGCTGGAAGAAATTGCAGCTCTTGGCAGAAAGCAGGGCAGCCACTGAAGAGCACCCAAAAACTGTCCTTGATGCTCAGAGTGTTTTCCAAGCGCCAGCTCACAACTGCAGGTTGAAGCTGCTCCTCTGACCTGAATATTATCAGGAAGGCCAAGTTGTGACACCAGAACCTCTTGTGTCCCCACCCAAAGGATAATTCACCCAATGTCCTGCCAGGCAAACCCAAGTATTTTCATGTCTGTGCTTAGGACATTCCTGCCACTGCCTTGGAAGATGGCACCATGCTACCAAACCCAGGTCACTGGGACTCACCCTCCTGCAGGGACAGGGAGCACTTCCTGTTTTCCAGTCTAAAATGAAGAGAATGTTTCAAGATGTCAGCTTGACAATCTCTTGTGAACTGACCATTCATTTCCCAGCACTGGTATTTTGCTACATATCCACAGAAGGTTATTCTGGATATGCCTCTTGGGTGGTGAGAGATCTAGGAAGTTCAGAACTGATTATGGACTTCCCAAACCGACAACCCAATCCTCTTCCAACAACTCCTGACTGTGGTCATGAATACACTTTAACCACGTCATATAATTCCATTTCTCCAGTTGGGCAGGTGTGTGCTTTTCTCTCAGTAAGTTATGCAAGAGAGACAAAACTAATCAGCACTTCGGGAAACTGTTGTCTCAGTGACATTTGCACGACTGCTCCATCAGCTGCCAATGAACATCCATCACGCTGGCAGAACACTGTCTCCTGAAGTTTACATCAGCTGCTGTCTGGGAACATTCATTTGAAACACAACCATGTGGACTTACAATAACCTAGACCACTCTCTGAGTTGTTATTTGCTTGTTTTCTCTCTCTGGGAAGAAAGGGGAGTGTCAACAACCTCCCTGAAAGATCTCTGCTCCTGCAGGCGAGCACAGAGCACTTGGGACTCAGACCTTGACCTCCAGGACCGAAATTAAAACAAGGATGGTGTGTGGGAATAAAAACAAGCTGCCAAGTGACCCCAAGAGTCCCTGATAGATCTCTCTGAGAAAACAGAGATTGCCTGAGACTTGCAGCATCCTTCACACCTTCCCTGCAGCCACCACACTGCCTGTGCTCCCTCTGAGAGGGGCCAGAGGAGACCTGAGAGAGCAGACATGAGGCTGACAGAGAAGTGGAAAACAAGATGGGAAAGAGAGAGATGGATCCCAGTAAAACCCACCATACCTACACTCTCTCCTGCTCCCCAGGTATCAAAATCCTCGACCTTGGGCCCCAAACCCACCAAGATCTCCCAGGACCCACAACAAAGCTGTGAAGATGCTACATGGCATCACTAAACCATCTGCCAAGGACACAAGGTTTTACAAAAGGATACAAGAAAAACTCCTAATGGGTTTAGATTTACAGCTGAACTTGGGTTTAGCATTTCAGTTGTACGTGTTACTGACTGAGGGGCACACACATAAACATTTGGACAGCTGGCTAAGCTAGATGGCTTGTTGTCATGTTTGTATTTTGTGCTTATGACTGCTGTGACTCAAAAAATCAGATGTGCAAGATCTGTTCACTAGAAGAAAGCCAAATATTCAAGAAATGGGCCTTTGTAACAACTCCTTTACCCTGAGAGCATCAGAGTTACTGCCAGTGGTAAGAAAAAAGATTAAATTACTTTTGGATTTATCACCCCAAACCTAAGCAAAAATCTAGCAACAACACAGAAAAATTCTTCCAAATGGGAACTTCTCACAGATTTTGATACCCTTGAGAAAAAAAAAAAAAGTTCTTAGAAAAAAAAATTAATCCTAATTTGTGAAAGATCAGGCAGCTGAAATCTCTACAAGATGAGTCAGTCCTGGCACACACACACAGACACACACTTGCAGAAGATTTTTAAATAGAGGCTAATTTCAGCTGAAACTAAGCACTGACAAGCCCTTCTATAGATGACGATTTGGAACCTACATATGAGCAAAAGTAAATCAAGTGGGTGAAAGGGTTCTGAGACCACATAAAACGGTGCCTCTGTTTCCACTGAAAGCAGCCTGGGTTTGAGTCAGTCACTGGAGAAAGCCTCTCCTCTTTGACTTCAGTGTGTGTGGAACGGACGTGAGAAAGTTTGCAGACCTTAGAAATTCAACAGGATGAGGGAAGAGCAGAGCTCAGAGCCTGCAAAACCTATGAACTGCTCTGAATTTCATCTGTGCTTGGGTGCCTCATAAAGTCAAGACTTCACAGCAGCAGTTTCCTGAAGTTCTGTCTTTCCTATAACACTTATAAAGTTCACAGGTGCTCCTTTCCCCCCCCAAACACCCCTGGAAGTGATCTTCCATTGCCTGACTCTCCTACACTACTTAAGAGGGAAACAAATTCACTGTTTATTCTAGGTAAACACATAGATTTCCAAAACATTGGTTTTTCTGCCCTACTCCACAAGGTATTGAGCTTTCAGCAAAACACAGGTCCAGGTCACAAGCTTGACTGTCAGCTAAATTAAGTCTGAAGCATCTGGACAGGTTACTGTGTGTGAGAGTGCTGTGACACCATCAACTTTGTGTTTCTCAGAAGATACTGCCACCTTGCTTTTCACACAGCACCCCAAAGTACTTGAACACAACAAGCAATGAATCAGAGAGCTCCTAACTCTCTCTAATAGCCTTTCTTCCTATATTCGGTATTTCTGTAGAGTTTAATCTGTTATCAGGGTGCAATGACTTCTTTCAGGAAAAGTGATTATTGCTTTTGCACTTAATTCACACGCAAAAATACTTTAATGACAAGATCCATCTCATTATTCTCCCATTGAAATCTCTTCAGAAAGAGTCCTTGTAACTTTCTGCTTCCTAAAATCTCTCCAAAATAGTCCTTGTAACTCTCACATCAGAATCCAACCACCTAGGTGGGACACCCCACCACCTGATGACAACACAGCAGTCAAGACGGGACCACTGGAGCACAATGAAACTGGTCTAAGCCTTCCTAGGGCAAGAGGAAGATTTTGCACAAGTTTACTGCTTTATTTAAGCAGTTCACAAGATCAGCAACTTCACATTCCTCAGTGAAGGAAAGCAGGGAACAGGTTGATCAGGATGGCCCTCAAGGAGATGTTCCTCATACCCTTCCTTTGCCCCGTGCCTGTGATATCAAACCATCCTGCCAAGACTGAGGGACTGCAGTTACAGATGGACAGAAAAAGATGAACATCAACCACATGTGATAGAAGAGAGGAACTAACTACTACCTTCACTGGAAACGACAGCTTCTGGAAAAAAGGAAATTGTCATCTATGTTACCGAGAACTTGTGAAGTGCAGACCAATATGAAATTATTTTCATAGCAGGAAAGCAAATAAACTGCCCAAGTGCATAATGAGATTGGGCACACAGCCATGAAGAGCTATAGGCTGTCATTAATTATGGAGGTACAACTCTTAAAGCCACGTGACCCAGGAGAACAAACTTGTGTACCTACAGCTTTTCCAGACACTGTTCTTCCTTGTGAAATGCTATTCTCCTTAGCAGAACTGAAAACATGGGATCGAACTCAACAGAATGAGAGAGGCAGGTTGTGTAAAACGGTAATGGTTTTTTAGAATCTGGTCTTATTTTCAAGATATATTTTAGAAGGATTTCTTTACAACATTCCTAACAGGAACTCAACCATTAAATGAAACCCCATACTTCTTATTACTTGAGATGGTCATCTGCCTAGGAATTTATCTTCTCCATTCTAGACAGCCTTATCACAGTTCAAATAAAAATATTACATATAGTTAAACATCTACTTGTTTGCATTCTCATAGAGTTATGAGTGACAACTCTCAGTACTGCACCATCAATTTTCTGCTATCCAAATGGGAAAAGGGGTTCTTAAAAAGCACTCAGCATTGGTTTACACACCACTGGTGGTCCAACATGATCCATGATATGAGCAAAGGAGGCAGATCCAGAGGGCTGGCATTTACAAGGGGGGCTTCTGACTGACCACTGGCCCTCAGTGAATGCTGGTAAGGGGGAGCTTTTGCAGCTTTTACATGAGCCAGACCTGCACCACAGCTAAAAATTACTTCAGCTTCAGCATCCATCAACAGCAGTAAGCAAATACTGAGTGCCTTTGAGAGTTCCCAGCAAAAATACAATTCCTAAAGCATACTAATATTAAATACTGAAGAAAGGATTTCATACCTTAAATTCCTCCAAGATTTTGTAATTTTTCCCATGATATTCACAAAAGTTCTTCACTTCTTTGCATTCTGGACAGCATCCATTGTGTTCCACTTTTGTACACTTTGGGTGGATCTTAGGGCATTCTGGTTGATCACAAACAGGTCCATCCTCAGTACAGACACAGGGACAGTTGGAATGTCCCGGGAAAAAACGTTCTCCCAGTTTGTACACAAAGCCACTGTCATCCACACAGCCCTTCCCCCGGTAGTCATCAAAGATCAGATTGTCATTACTGGAGGTCTGGTCCCCTTCATCAGCAGGATAGTCTTCATGATTGATGGCAGCTGGAGTGACCAAACCAGGGATTACAAACAGAAGTATCCAGGCTTCATGGATATGAAGAGCCATCCCCCTCCTCAGCTTCTCCATGGGATCTCAATGCCAGATACAAACAGTGGCTTCCATAGGGACACCAGTGTTGTGGTCTGAAAACAAGTATTTTTAAGTGAGAACAAACCCAAAGTTCAAGGAATATTGGCTTATAAAGGTCATAGGTTCAACCATCACCTAAGAATAAATCAGAGTTCTCAAACTGCATAGATAAATATTACTGTTTCATTTGAATTAAGCCTCTTCTCAGTTACTGTTACAGAGAACAAAGCATGTGACATCCATAACTTGGACACTCATGCCTGGAAGCATATGCCCACAAAGTATCTTTGAAGAAATGGTGGCTCACAGAATCATCTAATTTTTACTCCCCTCATTTGTCCAGTTGAGTTTCCAGATGCACCAGAAATTAAATCAGCTGCCTGAAATCACATGGTGATGGGCAGCTTGGAGGGTTTTGAACCCAAGTTTAAGCACAGTCTAAACCTCCTGCCATGGCCACTGTCCCTGGGTGCTACACAGGGTGAACAGCCCACTTCATTAAACTGGGGTGGGAAACCTGAGCTGGAAAAGGAGTTAAGCTGATCTGCTGTCAGATCTGCATCTGATAAGAAAGACAGTGCTGGGTTATACTTGGGCTGTGAGAGGTGGGAGAGTATAGAATTTTATATACAGCATTTCTGAAGAGGGACTACCTGGGCTACCAACACAGCCCAGCCTGCAGCAGGTACCTATAATCCCAACAGAAGCAAAAACACAGTTCACCTCCTCCATTATTCAGCATTTCAGTAATTCCCAGAGAGAAACGCGGAGACAGGACGTTAAATGCCTTCATAAGGCATAGAGCAGCTGAAGTGTGTTTGCGTGATTAAGCCGAGCCCTTCTCAAACTTTGGGAGCGATGCAGCACGGCCCGATCTTCGGCGAGCTCTGCTGAGGCGGTCGAGCGAAGGATCGACCCAGGGAGGGAGAGGAGCTTGGCACTGACCCCCGGGAGCGCCGGCGCCAGGCGAAAGCTCCGTGCCGGTGTCTTGGGAGCACTCCTGGCTTCCTACAGTGCCACATCACTGCCACCAACGCGCTGTCCAAATCCCTGCCGCTAACCTGCCTCCACACCAGCCCACGGGCAGTGCAACCCCGGCAGCAAACTGGTTTCTGACCTCTCTTAAGAGAACTGGGCAAAGTCTTACAGGAAACTTTTAAATGAAATGAAATATTAGCTTTATCTGGATTGAGGAACTACGGAGGTAGATCCTGGCACAAACCAAAAGAAGAACTGTTGGGACGTGCGTGTCATCCCTTCTCCGTTCCCAGAGCATGCACACACAGCCACACACAGCCACACACAGCACCCACAAACATGAATTAACCTGCACACACAGGCAAACACGGACTCCCTCCCAACCCTCTGAGAGATATTCCCTATGTACTCGGATTTTTGGTGGACTGCAGATGTTCAGCAATTAATTCTCCCTTAATTGATGCAAAAAAGCAGCAGCAGGAGAAGAAAGCTTTAATCCTAGAGAAGCAGCTAAGGGATCCTGTTGACAAAGCAGTTTTTCCAAAGCCACAACAGAGGGAGACACCGGATATTACACAAGCTTTATCAAATTCAAAAAGATATCTTCTTAATTGAAGTACTAGCTGCGTTTCCATCACAAGGACTATGCACCCCGTTGTTACTCCTATCAGCAATATCTATTGTGACATGCTGTTTGGAAATCAAGTGATTCCTGCAGATACGGCTGCTTTACATATCTACAGAGCAGAGAATCTCCCCACCTAAATGCTACAGGTAGGTTGCAACATTGCAGATCTGTGGGCATTTTAAGGGGGAAAAAAAATCAAGCAAATGAAGTAATTCATATCTGAGGAAATGTGAAACAATCAAGAAAATTTGTTCGAGTTTGATGAAGAAGCTCTCCAAAACATATATATATATATATATATGTAAAAGTTCTCCACAGATCATAAATAAGAGCACTGTATTTTGCTACAGCAGCCGAGATGTCCCATAGCAACTCACAAGCGATCTTGGAAATCAGACAGACTGCAGACGTCTTGCACGGACAGATTTCAACAAGTAAACAAATGCTGCTCAGCTCAGAATTAGTTTACAGCTTGAACTTTCTCATCATTTCTCCTCATTAGAGGTCATAATCGTGGGTAAATCTGAGTAAAACATTTCCTTCCGCCTTCCCTCACCCCAAGTGAATAATTCACACTTACCTAATCAGGCTCGATCTGAAAGCTGAGAGGGGTCACAGGCCAACAAGGACTGAAAGGTTAGAAACAGATTAGTGAAAGCAGTTCCTCCTAATCACGTTTTCGGTGTTGACTCACGGACAATCCCTTTTCCTCCACCTCCCATCGCAAGACAGGGGAGCGCGGCAGCCCAGCAACCACAACATGAGAATTAAGCTTTAACCCGGCGCCGAGGATTCAGAGGGAGCAGGATTCAGGCGGTCCGGAGGCTGGGATGCCGCGGAGAATCCCCGGTGCCAGCAGCAGAGTCATCGCGGCGAACTTGGGCTGCATCTCCTCAGGTCTCGGGGCGGGGGGGGTGTGAGAAAACAACCCATCTCTGTCCCCTCCCTGTGCCCGGCGGATCTCCTGCGGCTCCAGCTTTGCCACGGCGGGGGGAAGGGGTGGGAGCGAGCGCGGGTTAGGCGGGAGGCAGGCGGGGGAGGGCGGGCGGAGGAGCCCCGCGCCCGGCGGGCGGGCAGCCCCCGCTCCCCTCCGGGGACTCCCCAGGCCGGGGGCCGGGCATGTCCAGCGCCGCGCAGCTCCCTGCCCTCTCTTATTACAATTAATTTTTTCTTTTGGGGGGAGGGAGGAGAAGAAAGAGGGAAGAGCAGGGAACAAAAAACCCCCCAAAATAATACAGGGCGGGGCGCCCCCGCCCCAGCCGCTGCCCGCCCGCCCGCCAGCTGGGGCGACGGCGTCGCTCCCCTCAGAGCCGCCGGCTCCCCCCTCAGATCCAGTGGCTCCCTTCAGTCCGCGCCCTGGGCTCCCCTCAGCCGGGGCTCCCCTTTAGCCCGGAGCCCCCAAGATCCACGGCTCCCCCGTCAACCGCCGCCGGCTTCAGGCGGGTTCCCCCAGGCCCGTCGGCTCCCCTCAGATCCACTGACTCCCCTCAGATCCGCCGGCTGGGACTCCCCTCAGCCCGGCTCCCCTCAGGCGGTCTCCCCTCAGCCCCTCCGCGATCCCCAGCTCCGGCTCACGCCGCTGCCCCGGCGGTGTCCGGGAAAACATCCCCAATGGCCGCATTATGGAAACTTCGCCTCATCTTCCCACAGGCGGCTGCGCTGGGGAAGGGGCGCCTCGGCTCCCGTGTCTCGTGCTGTGCCACATTAAAAATCAATCTCCTTGCAATTCGGCTGCGCTGTCATTAGGCGTCATTGTAAAGCTGTTTCTCCAGAAACCACCAAAGGAGAGACTCTTGGCGTTGGGGGAAAACGCGGGGCCAACAGAAAGAGGGAGAAACCGGGGGGGTTTATTTGGATAAAACGCCGAATAACGCTCCGTTTGGGCGCAGACATTAACGACGAGCCGGCGAGGCCCGCAGCGCGGGCTGCCCCGGGCCTTCTCCCGCAGCGCCGAGCGAGGAGCGCTCACGTCCAGAGGCAGAGCCGCCGTCGGCGACCGCGGACAGCAGGAGCGCGGGCCGTGGGAAGCGCAGGCAGCGCACGGCGCCGCCCGGCCCCGCAGCGCCGAGAGCTGCCCGCGTCCCGCCGCAGCACCCGCACCGAGCCGTCGCTGCTGCCCAGGGCCACCACGCCACCTGCAAGGCAGAGCAAAGGCATCGAGGTTGGCAAAGGCCGCGCAAGAGAGCGGCGCTCAAGTTCTGAGGTCGTGGTTTTAAAGACAACCCCCCCCCCAACGTGTACTCCCGTTGGACGGATCAATAACAGTGAGATTGGATTTTGCAGCGATGAAGTGAATCTGGAGACCCCGGTGTTCTCCTCATTAGGAGCACGGCTGTTTTACTTATATTTGGACACAGTTATTCAAGCCCAGATTCTGACACACAGACTGAGCACCAGAGAAGTAGATGCTCTTCTGATACCTGGAGGTATCAACATCAGACATGCTTTTAATCCTGCTTTTCTTGTACCACTGTTAGACATGAAGATGCGAGTTTTCAGCTGAATTTCCAGGTCAGGCTCTAACTGAACTAAGGGTCTTGCTCCCTTATATCCTTATGGAAAAACCCGACGATAATTACATTGTTAGTATCAAATTGGGTCTAACTATAGGAAAAAAATAAAAGAAAACCTCAAAAAGGTTCTAAGGAGTTCCCAGTTTCCATGTGTTTATTTACGAACCAAACTCAGTTTTCATCACTCTTAAAGAAGCAGAATTTGTTTATAAGTTTATTATCTTCATCCTTAAATAAAAGCAGAGGTAACAGCTGGTGATATGTTTGAAGCACCTCTTACTTACCTAGCCCCCTGATAAAGATTCTCTCCTTTAAAAATGAACTATAATAATCATGAGTTTCACGTACCAAAAAAAAAAAAAAAAAAAGGGAGATCAATACACTCATTTTACAGCTGATGTGGCCCTACCAACAATAGGATCACTCTACTGCCAGCCATGATCTTGGTCAAACACCTTTTTCTATTAGGAGCAAGTTCAATATACCCTCTAAATGATTACAGCTTTTTATGTATCAAGATTTGCTCTCTGAAAGCAGACAGCACTAGCAGAAGAATAATTAATACGGACACTGACAAAGTCAGTCTGGCACCAAGGTCATAATTTTGGGGAAGATTATGAAAAACAGGAGATATTTTGCTATTTTCAGTCATTCAGGTTATTCACCAAGTGGCCAATGGGAACATACTGCCCAACAGAAGTGAGTATGGAGGAATCTCTCCCAGTTTTAACAATATGGGAACCATAGGGCCTTGGGTGTGCCTGTGTGATGAACAGTTTATCCAGGGAATATCCTGTCCCTCCATTCAAACTAAGTCATAACAATGATGTTCTCTGCTCTGCCCATGAAGATCTGATGGCTTCATTTCTCCATTTATCAAAGGAAACACGTAGCCTAAAACACCTTAAAAATGCACCGAGATTATTTAACCACAAGTCATGCTCGGTGTGGTCATGGATATGTGAACGGGAACTAGGAAGTAGAGCTAACCATGATAAATATGCCCTATTTGCAAACCTTTGTAACTACCCGACTTCTTCAGCTAGAACAAAGCCTGACACAGCAAAGATCTGTAGGATGGATTAGAGTGTCCAAAGCAGCAGATGTGAATATTTATTATAAACTCTCCTCCAGCAAGTCTTTGCTGACAGAAGCATTGCATATGGATTTCACTTGCAGCCAGACTCTCCAGGCAGTTGCTGGATGACTTCTCTAGGAGCCAAACAAATGCCATTTCAGCTGGAGCCCTGACACCACAACAGCTGGGCAGGGGGTTAATGTCACTCTCAGCTGCTCAAACAACTTACGAACCCACTTGTCACAAAAAGAGAGGGACAGGAAGGAGAAAAGATTTGGGCAGCTGCACTTCCCTTCCGGAAAGTAAGGGCAGGACAGAGTGACAACTAAGACAGCAGCTTAGGCTTCTCAGTCACCCCCCGGGTTGGCAGCAGGGCAGGAGCAGACCCCAACTCTGCATTTTTCTGAATTCTTTTTAGATAAGTCATATGCCTGAAGCCAAACAATAGCACTCTCATCCCACCAGTATTCTGACAGTACTGGGAATGGACAAAACCAATGGGAAAACAGAGAGAGTAAAAACCAATTGGCTAGAAGGTGCAGTAGTAACCTGCACCTACCTCCAACGCGAGTACTCGCTGGGGAAAGGATTGAGATGCACAAGGCAGCCCTGGTGGAGAATGACTTTTTTCATGTGAATTTTTGTTCCCTCAGTTGTGATTTGTTGCTACCGTTGACCACGAGTACAGCTACTTCCTTGCTCAGCAGCAGCAGGATCCACAGGCAAATGCAAGCAAAAGGGGAGGGGAATGCACAAAATGAGAACATCTCATTTCCGTCACCCTTTATGTCAACCCTGATCTACAGGCTCATAACAATTCGCTCATTATAATGTAAATTTACTCCCTCCTTCCTTCCAAAAGGAGATGTTTTGCTTTGGAAAGAGGGAACAAATTGTGTTTTATTGCTCTTTCAAAATGTTCTCCAATTAGGAAAGCAAACAAAAACTACTACATAATTGTCATGCAAAGCTCTTTTTTAATGAAGGATACTTACTTGTCACTAACAAAGGCACTTTGATATAACACTCACAGGAATATAAAAGCCTGAAGATAAATTTTCCTCATACCTTTGACCCAACTGTCAGGTGGGGCTGGTTTGTGCAAACTCACTGAACTCAGCAGTTAGGCTGATTTGAATTGAGATGGACAGTTTCTGCTTAGAAGACACAAAGCCTCCAAAGCTTCTGACCTGTAGATCTCACAGCCTCCAGGTCTCCAGCTCATGGAGAAGCTGCTCTGGATCTGCTGATGCACCTCCCACATGGGCAACACGGGGAGCTAAACCCATGCTTTGCTCTGGCCAGTCCTAAACTCAGCCTTCCTCAACCTGGGAGACAGGAGTGATGACAAAGCACATTGCCACGACAAAGAGAGCCTACAGTAGCAGCCTTTGTGCCAATTACAGCTGATTTGCTGTTGTCCATTGCTAGAACACAGGTACTAATTTTTCTGATGTACCCCTATTATGTCCTTAGAATAACATAAGCTCTGACCATCTGGCCACTTGCTTCAGAAAGGATGCACTGAGTTAGAAAAGGTAAAGAAAGGTAGCAAAGGCAATTAAGAGTACAAACAACTTCTGTGCAAGGAATCATTAAGAGGGATGACAGCTTAGCCCAGAAAAAACCCTATTTGTGCACTAAAATGTACTTGGCTGATGGTGCTTTCTCCATGTGCGAGCCTCAGGCTTCACAGTGAGCCCGTGATACCGCTGCTGTTTCACTCCCTGGGGACCCACAGAGAAATCTGGAGCTGAGGCAGGTCCCACCTTACCCCCAGGTGATGGTGAAACAGGGTTTTTGTGAAAACGCTCCTCTGAATCCTGTCTGACGTGGGAGCTGGGAGGCAGCCACAGGAGCTGAGAGGAGCAGCACTGAGGGGGACATGGAGTCTCTGAACCCTCCACCTTTCTCCTTGGACTGCCTTGTCTCTGAGGAATCAGTGCCCTTCTGCTCCCTGTCTCTCCCCAGAACTGGACTAAGCTGCTGCTGGAGGTTTCCCAGTGTCCTGCAGGGAAGAGCTCTGTTCCTGGTCTCATGTGCTGCCTCACCAGGCTGCCATTTCCAGACTGGCAACACTCTTGGGTTTAGGCATTGATTAATTACAAATGCAGTGCTGTTGTTTGGGCTGAAATACATTTGTACTTAAAACAATAAAAATCACTAACTTCCTTCTAGATGAACAATTCCTGCTACTTAAACCATACCCCTATGTTGTTTTCAGACCAGAACTGAACCCTAAAAATCATTTAGTACCTCAGAAGAGATACTAACATTTTAGTGTGGTTTTTTTTGGTTGGTTGGTTGTGTTTGTTTGGTTGGTTTTACTTTTAAGACAGGTATCCAACTTTGGAGAATGGGGTCATTAAAATGAATTATCTTTT